GCATAGTCACACATGCCTGTAATCCAGCTACTCAGGAGACCAAGGCAGGAGAATCACTTGAACCTAGGAGGTGGAGGTTTCATTAAGCCAAGATGGCACCACTGTTGCCTGGGCAACAGAGCAAGACTCTGTCTCAAAAAAAAAAAAAAAGAACCCTTGACAACCTGATACCAACTCCTGGATCCAGCTGTTCCTGTATCCCATGTTCCTCTGCACTTCCCAGTTACATGAGCCAATAAGTTCCCTTTTTGTTTATTACTAGTTTGAGTTGGGTGTCTGTCACTTGTAACTTAAATAAGCCTGCCTACAAATTCCAGCTAAAGCATTCATCTTCCAACAAGCCTCTGTAAAGACCCTGTCTTTAAAGCACAAAACTCCCTGCTTCATTTGACCACTGACTACCAGAGAATGCAAACCCTTGGACAACATGAGCACAGCAAGGATTTTATCCTCAGTCCCTCCCCTGCCTCTGTCTGTCAGCGTTGATCTGATCTGCAGCCTTCAAACCCAATGCCAATCCCATCCCTACTTGCCCTGCCTCCACCAACATTACCATTGTCTCCTTTCTTAATCTTTGTAAAAGGACCTCACCAGGGAAAGAAAAGTGACCTCTGCTTCAAAAATGAATAATTGCCATGAATGTTGAGAGCCACAGCAAAGGAAACCATGCCGGCTTTAATAAATACCAAGCAGCTGCTGCTTGGTGATGATGGTGTCGCCCTGGTGGAGCATTCTAGAGTCTGATGTTTACAGAAAAATGGCAGGTAGGTGCCAATGCTGGAACATCAGGCCAAATCCCAGGTTTCCTCAGCCTTCACTCATCCTCATGTACAAAGTAGAGGCCCTGCAGTTGCTTCCCAAGACTCAGTTTCCTTATAGGCAAGCTGGAAAACATTTAGTATTAATGACCACCAGAGCTGTGTCAAAGAAGAATCATCTCAAACATGGCTGAGCCTTAACAAGGATGAACAGCACTCAGGGGAAGAATTCTAGATGAATCTTTGGGTAACAGGAACTCTGAAAACAGCAATGATCCAGTAGGTGACATGAAGGGCGTGCCCCTCGCCTTCCTGGACTGGTGCTCAGCATTCCACTTGCGTGAACTCATTTAATCCCCACAGCACGCCTATGCGGTGGGAAGTAATTATCATCTCTGCTTTACAGAGGAGGCTCCTGAGGCCTGGAGAGAATGTGAGGTTTGTCCGCAGTCACTCAGTAGTGCAGCCACAGTGACCCTGAAGTCAGGCCCGGTGTCTGGCCTCTGTGACCAGGCCCTCCCAGGGATGTGAAAGAACTCGGCAGTTGCTCCTAATATCCCTTTTACCATCTCAACGACGTGGGCAATCAGGACTGCCTTGCTTCCTGCCGGGGATTCTGAGTGCATCAGTGGGCATCCCAGAGTGGCTTGGCATTCAGTCCCTTCTCCCCAGCTGGCCTGCAGAGTCTTGGTAGGCAGTGCAGGCCAGTGCTCCAGAGGTACTGGAAATGGAAAGTCATGAGGGTAATCCTCTTCCACCATTCACTATCCATGCACCCTCTAAGCCTTGCTTTCTTATCTGTGAACTTTGTCATCTGAGGAAGGGCTGCTGGCAGGGAAGGGCCAGAGACCCAGGCCCAGTTAGCCAGACCCTCCCCAGTATAGTCTGGTGATGCCATTGAAAAAGGCCATGTCTTCTCATCTCGTTGCTGGCCTGTGATCCTAGGGCTGCTTGCCTCATGGAAAGTGAGAGAGGGAGAGAGAGACAGAAACTTGGCAACCTGGGCTGAGCTAGTTTATAATAATACCTACTGTGAACTGGGAACCATAATAATACCTACTATGGTTTTGTTTGTTTGTTTTTTGAGACAGAGTCTCACTCTGTCATCAGGCTGGAGTGCAGTGGCGTGATCTTGGCTCACTGCAACCTCCACCTCCTGGGTTCAAGCAATTCTCCTGCCTCAGCCTCCCAAGTAGCTGGGACTACAGGCACACCCCACCACACCCAGATCATTTTTGTATATTTATTAGAGACGGGGGTTTCACCATGTTGGCCAGGATGGTCTGGATCTCTTGACCTCATGATCCTCCCAGCTCGGCCTCCCAAAGCATTGGGATTACAGGTGTGAGCCACAGCAGCCGACCTACTGTGGGTTTTTAGGAGCTGGGAAGCTTGTCTTTTACTTTTTTTTTGAAACTACAAAATACTTTAGACATCCAAAATGGAAGTGATAATATATACCCCACCAGCAGCTTAAGAGAAAAAATGTTGTAATTGATGCACTCCTGCCCCAGTCCCATTCCTCTCCTCTCCTTACCAGGGGTAACCATTCCCCCAAGTTTCATGTAGATTAAGACTTGGAAAACTTTCTGGAAAGGGCCAGATGGTAAATAGTTGCACCTTTGCAGGCCACACGGTCTGTAGCAAGTATTCAACCCTGTCCTTGGAGTACAAAGGCAGCCATAATCGACATGTGAAAGAACAAGTGTGGTGATGTTCCAGCAAATTGTATTTATGGACACTGAATTTGAATTTCATAAAATTTTCAGGTGTCACAAAAGAGCGTCCTTCTTTTGATTTTTGTTCAACTATTTAAAACTAAAAACCATTCTTTTTTTTTTTTTTTTTTGAGACGGAGTTTCACTCATGTTACCCAGGCTGGAGTGCAATGGCGCGATCTCGGCTCACTGCAACCTCCGCCTCCTGGGTTCAGGCAATTCTCCTGCCTCAGCCTCCTGAGTAGCTGGGATTACAGGCACGCACCACCATGCCCAGCTAATTTTTTGTATTTTTAGTAGAGACAGGGTTTCACCATGTTGACCAGGATGGTCTCGATCTCTTGACCTCGTGATCCACCCGCCTCGGCCTCCCAAAGTGCTGGGATTACAGGCTTGAGCCACCGCGCCCGGCCTTAAAAACCATTCTTAGCTCACAAGCCACACAAAAGCAGGTGGCGGGCTGGACTTGGCCATGGGCATAATCTGCCAACCTTGGTATATATCATTTCCATGCATATTTTAATACTGCAATTCCATACGTGTGTCTATATAGAGTATTGTTTAGTGGGTCTTAAAATTTCATATAGACAGTATTATACGGCAGTTTTCCTTCTACAGCTGATCACTCCTTTTTAACATCATATTTGCTGAGATTTATGTGAGTTATTACATGTAACTTCAGTTGATTCATCTTAAGTGCTGTATAGGAACTCACTATATGACTTTACCACAACTTATATGTAGGATTATTTATAGGATTTCACTACATGAATTCACTGCAACTATTTATCCCTTCTCCTCTTGGTGGACATTCAAGTTGTTCTCTAGTTTTACAAACAATGCTGCAAGGCACCTTCCGCATGTGCACCAACGTTTCTGTAGGATTGCTCTTCCTAACAGAAGTCCATAGTCACAGGGTGTTTACTGGTCACCTAAAGCTAGGAAGGAAAGGGCTCAACATCACACCCAGCACCTGTGTGTCAGTCACTGACAGCTCCTGTTCCTCTGGAGCCCCTTCAAGCACCAGGCAGAGGAATAAGCATAAGTGCTTAATACCCCTTTTCCACTTAATTCAAAAAGACAGGGTGTGGGGGGCAAGGGGAGGGAGAGCATTAGGACAAATACCTAATGCATGTGGGGCTTCAAACCAAGATGACAGGTTGATGGGTGCAGCAAACCACCATGGCACATGTATATCTATGTAACAAACCTGCACGCTCTGGACCTGCATCCCAGAAATTAAAGTAAAATTTTAAAAATAAATAATAAAAATTTAAAAATTAAAAAAAAGACTATCATAGAAAAAAATCTGTGAGACAAACAATGGGACCTATGAATGATCAAGGAAGGAAAAAGCTAGTTAGATCAAAGTCTCCAAGAATGCCTTTTTTAAAAAGCAACATAGGGCTTGAAGTTGGGAAGGATGGGTGGAAAACAAATGCTTCTAAGTGGGCTCCAAGGTGGAAATGAATACGTCATGTGTAAGGAAATCTAGGAGACCAAGCTGGCTGGAGCATTTGCAAAGTTCTTTTGGCAGGCATTGAATGCCGGGCAGAGGACATGGTGCTTGGCTTGCTAATCAGTGGGAGCCCAGGAAAGGCCAGCCTAGGATGGCCAGGGCTACCCACTGGAGATGTTAACTCAGCTGGTCCTATGGGGTGGAACCTTGGGAGCAGAGTCTGAAGTCACACACACCATGAAAATGGTATGTTGCTATTGTGGCTCTTCCAAGGCTGAGCCCAGCCTAGTAGAGCTTGGCCTTTTTTACACCATACCTTTAAACCAATTTAGCATTTGTGGCTCAGGCAGAGGTGGACATACTATTATTCCTCCAGCTGAGACTGTGGAGACTCACCTTTCCCACTGTACACATAAGACAAACAATTATTGCTCTTAAGGGAGAAAATTATGTTTCCTTAAGAAAACATGAAATCAGATCAAAAGAAAGAAGAACAAAGAAAATCAATAGCATCTCTCCATTTTTTCATTCAACATATACACATTTATTAATCCCCTTTTGTGTGTGCCAGGTACAGCAGGGCCACAGGAATGTGTAAAGCATGGCATATGCCACCCAGCCAATGGGCTGAGAGGGCCACGGTTGTTTTCCAATAGTAATACGAAGCAGCATAGGGTAAGTGCCAGAACTAATCTTTCGAACAATTAGCATAACAAAAATTCAAGGGAATAAAGAAAGGCTAAGGAAAGCCTGGGAGAAGCATTTCCAGTTGGCTTTTTGAAGGACTTAGAGGCAGAGAGGGAACAGGAGGGAACCTCAAACAGACTGGGAAGAGCAGACATACGGCAGTGAAAATGAGCAAGACATATTTGGGCAGAGTGAGGCCCAGCACAGCAGGCTCCTACACGCACTGTAACTCAGCAGCACCCAGTGCTCCTGATTTGGAGACGCAGGCTGCCCCACACATCAATATTTTCTCTTCCCCCAGTGTCCTGGTGATGTGTCCTGTCCCCATCACCCTCCCCTTCTTCCTAGACTCCTGTGGAGCCAGGCACCCTGGGTATGTTGGCTCCGTGGCTTGCTGGCCTTGTTACCTCGAGCACATTGTGTAACCACTCTGAAATTTCATTTATTTGATGGGTAAATGGAGTTGATCATGCCTCCACTCACCCAGCTGTTGTAAATATTGAAGGGATCGCCTACCTTGAGTCACTCTGCAAGCAGGAAAGGGTCCTTCCTGCAGACCTGCGCCACCATCATGTCTGCTGTGAAGTTTCTATATAAACATCTGGAGTACAGCTGGATGCAAAATCTGAAAGGATACCATCAAGCCATCAGCAAGAACATTTCTTTTAAAATGGAAGCTCCAAGGCTGGGCACAGTGTCTCATGCGTATAATCCCAGCACTTCGGGAGGCCGAGGTGGGCAGATCACCTGAGGTCGGGAGTTCAAGACCAACCTGACCAACATGGAGAAACCCTGTCTCTACTAAAAATACAAAATAAGCCAGGCGTGGTGGTGCATGCCTGTAATCCTAGCGAATTGGGAGGCTGAAGCAGGAGAATCGCTTGAACCCAGGAGGCAGAGGTTGTGGTGAGCTGAGATTGTGCCATTGCAGTCCATCCTAGGCAACAAGAGCAGGACTCCATCTCAATAAATAAATAAAAATAAAATGGAAGCTCCAGCCACGGGTACTCTGACTTCTGTGATCCTGGCCATCATCACCACTTCTCCCCCATTGCCGTGCAGAGAGAAAGACTAGATAGAACTGATGGATGGGTATCCAGAGAGTTGGTAGCAATTGTTACGGTTCTGTCCAGAACTACTGCCATGCTGCTCTGGGTTTGGGCAGGACAACTTCTCTCTCTGGGTTAAATGTGAATGGCTCAGAAATACATGCTAAAAGTTCTCTCCAGGACCTTTCCCAGGTCGGGGCTAAAATCTTGGATGACAGTATCTTCAAAATGGAATTTCCGTACCCCAAGTGCTGCACATGATGAAACCCTGGGGTGTGAGGAGAAAATATTAGAGCTTCTACCTTCGGTTTTCTAATATATAATTACATTCGTTTTCTGTCACCACCAGAATACATTACCACAAACTTAGCAACTTAAAACAGTCCAAACCTATTATCTCAGTTTCTGTAAGTCAGTTGAACTCAATGGGATCCTCTGTTTAGTGTCTCAAAAGCCAAAATCAGGGTATCTGCAAGGCCATACTTCCTCCTAAAGGTTCTGGGGAGTAGTGTTTTTCCAGCTTGTCCAGGTTGCTGGCTGAATTCAGTTTCTTGCGGCTGGAGTACTGTTGTCTTTTCCTCGTGGCTGGCAGTCTTTGTTCCCAGAGGTTTCCTATGTCCCTTCTCATGCTTTCCAGGTGGGCTCCCCAGAAACAGTAGATTGGGTCTTTCTCATGCTTCAGATCTCTCTGATGGCCTCTTTTGTCACATCTCTTTGACTCTGGCCAGAGAAAGTTCTCTGCATTTGAAGTCTCATGGGATTAGCTTAGACACCTGGACAGTCCAGGGTACTTTCTCTAATTTAAGGTCCTTAACCTGAATCATGTCTGCAAAGTTCCTTTTGCCATAGAAGGTGACATGTTCAGTTTCCAGGGATTAGAGCATAGTCACCTTTGGGAGATATTCTGTCTACCACAATCCTCAAGGAAAAGGCTTTACACTCAATGACTGTTGCTATGGGACACAGGGACAGATATCACATGTGATATCTGAGATGTCTTGAAGGAAAGGTGGGAATCTCCCAACAAGGAGCAGTAGACAATGACACCCTCACTCGCTAGTTTGCTTTTAGCTCATGGTGACAGATTAAAATCTGTGTCTTCACAATGGCCAGGATTCAGAAATGAGAGTCCAGTTCCCTTCTTTCATTTGGATTTATACGTCTTGTATATCTTTCTCAGTTATAATCACCCAAGTATTGAAAATCAGACGCAGGCTTTTGACTAACTGTGCCACAAAGTATTATAACAAGATTTTTTTTTTTTTTTTGATGGAGTCTGGCTCTGTTGCTAGACTGAGTGCAATGGCACTATCTTGGCTCACTGCAACCTCTGCCTCCTGGATTCAAGCAATTCTCCTAACTCAGTCTCCTGAGTAGCTGGGACTACAGGAACGTGCCACCACACCCAGCTAATTTTTGTATTTTTAGTAGAAATTGGGTTTCACCATGTTGGGCAGCATGGTCTCAATCTCTGGACCTCATGATCTGCCCACCTTGGCCTCCCAAAGTGCTGGGATTACAGGCGTGAGCCACCATGCCTGGCCTATACCAAGATTTGTAAAAATAATTATACCTATCCAATCCCATTATTCTCACTAGAAATTTGATTAATAATATATTTTAATGAGAACAAAAAGCGTTTCGCATAGCTAATAAAATCAATATTTTTAAATATTTATTTCATCTGTATCAAATTTTAAGTTTGTGTTTAGATATATGTTTTTAAAACTACAGAACATATTAGTACAAAAGTATTGGACATAAGTCATAATAAATATGTATGTGTAAGATGTGCATTCTCAAAAATGTTCTTATTAATAAAGTTGCTCAAGCAAGTTTTGGAAGATAAAGCTTTGGGTCACGAGACAGACATTGTGCTGGGGTAAACACAAACCTTCTGGAGATATTTTAAAACTTCCTCAAACTTCCTAAATATGCTGTGTTTCAAAATATTTGGTTCTCGGGTTGTGATTGATTTTTCAGGCAATTTAGAGAATTTCTTTTCCAAGTAGCTGCTTCCCTACACCCACTTGTTTTAGCTGAAGAACATTAAGAAAATAAAATGTAGTTCTCTTTCAGGTACTGTTTCCCAAGGTGCAAAATGAGAGATGGGGTCTGCGCCTCCTGGTTTCTTGTGTTTGGGTCCAGCAGGAGTTGAGAGCCTCTGAATGGCTGTGCTGGGGGGTTTCCTGTGCAAGACTTTACACATTTGCAGTCCCATCAATCCGGCACCTATGGGACAGGAAGCCAACAAGGTTTGTGGAGCCAGATAGCCAAATAAAAAAGAATCACCTTTTACTTTCCTGAAGTTAATTAATGCTGAGTGGAGCAGGCCGAGTACAAAAACTGATCAGGCTTTCTCTAAGCAAAGACTCCACATTTTACCCATAAAGCCAAATAAGCCTGACCCTGGGACCCCCACAAATGCAGGTCAGGCCTAGCTGGGAGGTACAGAGGAACTAACACTTTTCCCTTCACACTCCTTCTGGTGTTTCCCTTCTGGGTCTTATTTTTATTCATTTTTCCAGTTTATAAAACACACTCACCGATGGGCCCTTGGGGCACATGTGGAAAAGCTTAAAAGATGCAAGTACAAAAACAGACTGACTTCGAGTCAAGAACCAAAACCCTAAGAATTCTCCATCTCGCCCCCACCCACTACTCCTGCCCTAGTGACATTACAGGCCTTCCTCTCCCATATTTCCTAAAAGGGCCATAAAGTCGGGCTTTTTCCAAAGGAAAGGGAGGTAGGTGTCAGAACTATTCTCTTAATATCTTGATCTCGGAGCCTGGTGCTGTAGCCTGAGGTAGTTTGACAAAGGGGTTGCTTGAACAAGAGGTCAGGCCTCAGCAATGGGCAGTGAGGCCTCTGCTGCCAGGCTCTGAACAGTCTCCAGAACATCCGGGCCACTCCCAAGAATCCAGGATCCGGACCTGGTACACACATATCAGGAGCTCAGATTGCCCATCTCAGGAAGGGAAATAAAGACTACATTCTCTGAAGGCCTAAACAAGATGCTTCCATTGGCCCCACCTTCCCTCTCTTTTAAAAAGCATGCTTTTGAAATTATTTTAATCTGTTCCGTTAAACCACTGACTGATCATCTGATGAATGGGAAAGAAAAACCAAGTAGGCCAGACCCCATTCCAGCATGGAAAAGCAGTGCCATCCTCTCAGTCTTTCTTTTATTAAATACACGTTTACTGAACACCTACTATATGCCATGGGCTAGAGCTACATCGGAAGACAAAACAGACTTGCCCCTCCTCCTGTGGCTCTTAGAGTTTAGTGGGGAAGATACATTAACCAAATAACTAAGTAATTTCACGTGGGCCTCATGCACTTTAGGGGAGACCGACATAGTCAGGCGGGGGTCAAGGAAGGCCTTTCTGAGGGCATGCATTCACGCTGGAACCTGAAGGACACATGGAGTTAACCAGGTGAACAGCGGAGGAAGAGCTTTTGAAGCAGGCACTGTGGAAGAGGCTGAAGGATTCAGAGACCACCACAGGCAAACAGCAAGAGGCACTGTCACCAGGCCTGGCAGGCCACGCTCTCAGGATGCAGCTTTGTCCCAGGTGCGATGAGCAGACTGACTGTGATCTATTCATGTTTTTTAAAAAATCCCTCCCGGGGCTGGGCATGGTGGCTCACACCTGTAATCCTAATACTGTGGGAAGCAGAGATGGGCAGATGGGCTGAGCTCAGGAGTTTGAGACCACCCTAGGCAACATGATAAAACCCCGTCTCTACTAAAATACAAACAAATAACTGGGTGTGCTGGTGCGCACCTATAGTCCCAGCTACTCAGGAGGCTGAGGCATGAGAATTGCTTGAACCTGGGAGGCAGAGGTTGCAGTGTAAGCCAAGATCATGCCATTGCACTCCAGCTTGGGTGAAAGAGCAAGACTCTGTCTCAAAAAAAAAAAACAAAACCTCAAACCTTTCCCTAGAACTCCTGTTGTTCCTGGAGCTCTGAGAAACGTGGTTTGAAAAGCACCGACCTGAGGAATCGGGGTCGTGGTCTTCATTTCCATCAGTGCTTGACTTTTGTGATCACAGGAGTTGCCGTCGGATGGTTTGCTGAGAATATTGCTGTGGCAGACAAGAAAGAGAATGTGAGGAAAAACAGACACAGTTCTGGAGTGCCGTGAATTAGACAAAACACACTCAGCAAAGTAGCAAATCCCCACATTGGGTAACCAGGAAGCAGATGAGAGTGGACTTCCGGTGAGCCCCGCTCTTCCTGAGGGGTGCTGCAGGCACCAGCGGCCACTGCTCACTCAGGACTCCCTTGGCCAGTCTCTGCCTTCTGCCAGGCCAGCCAGACTCCTCAACCACCACAGAGAAGAATATAAGGCTGTCCTATTGCTTCTCAATCAAGTGATGAAGCATAACAACTGTCAGGACTCTCTTTTAAACGATTTGTCCTGAGGTCTGTGGACACGTTCTTCCCGAGGCAAAGGAAAGGAAAACAAAACAAACCGTCGTGCACAGCTTTGGCACACCTGTCTCAAAGTGTCCCTGAGGACCAGGATCTTTGACTCCCCCTGCCTAGAGGAAGCTTCCAGGAGAACACTGTTCTCCAGTGGCTGTTATGCTGTGGTATTTTTCACAGGAAAGGGAAGTGTGGTCTCTGTGAGAATCGGCCACCTGCCCCATGTTCTCCCAAAGTTGACATAATGCCTGGACTATATTCTGCTCCGGCTCTCTTCACAGACCCTGAACGGGGAGACGGGCGGTGCTCTGTGATTCATTCATCCTGCTTCCACCCTTCATCTAGAGCATGAATAAATGAAACAGAAGGTGTACTCAGCTGAAAGGAAAATAAAGATGAAGGGAATAAGAGACACCCCCCTGGCCAAAACATGAAAAAATAGGCAATTTTTTCAAAAAGCCATTGCAGAGGTTAAAATCGCCCCAGGGAATGTTTAACTTGCTCCTTGGTCATTTACTTGAGCGTTAGGCCACTCTTGGGCTGTGGTGCTTAATGGAAAGAGTATTTACCTTAGCAACCGCAGCAAACCAGGGATCCAGCAGGCATGCTGGGAGGACACAAAATACCTTCACAAAGGAGGCCATCAGCTAAGAAAATGTCAGACTTCACATTTGGGGATGCCATCAAGGGATCTTTTAAAAATATTTTTCGTTAATGATGACTGAGGGTGGAGAAAGAAGGAGAAGAAAAAGGCACACTCCAGTTTCCCTTCTATTTTTCACCACTGCCCCTGCTTTTCCCTGCTCCCCCTCCTCTGTTGAACAGTACACAAGCAGGTAAGGCAGACTGGGTAGGAAAGGATCACTTGGGAAAAGGTGTTTGGAAAGCAATGTCTTTCTTCCTGCCATCTTGTTGTCAACAGTCACCAGTATGCACACAGGAACCTCCATGTGAAATCCTAGAGGTCATTTTCCCCACAAGCCAAAAAGTAAAAGGTATCCACATGTATGCTCTTGCCACTCCCCATATCCAGTCTTCTGCTTCCCACACTTCAATGTATGACATTGGCAGGGCGCAGTGGCTCACGCCTGTAATCCCAGCACTTTGGGAGGCTGAGGCGGGCAGATCACTTGAAATCAGTTCAAGACCAGCCTGGCTGACGTGGTGAAACCCTGTCTCTACTAAAAATACAAAAATTAGTTGGGCGTGGTGGCTTGTGCCTGTAATCCCAGCTACTCAGGAGGCGGAGGCAGAAGAATTGTTTGAACCTGGGAGGCAGAGGTTGCAGTGAGCCAAGATCACATCATTGCACTCCAGCCTGGGAGACAAGGGTGAAATTTATCTCAAAAAAAAGGAAAAAAAAAAGCATAATATGTCACTTGCTTGTGTCTAAATCAGGTCTATGCATGCACACATTTTCAGGAGTACTGTACAGAAAGAATTCAATTGGACCAGAAGATACAGTGATAGCCTGAATGTTAAGGCCCAGACCACCAAAAAAGAAGCAATGAGCATTTGTACTTTCCAAAACGTGCCAGCAAGTTCTCAACCTGCTGAAACTTAGCAGAAACCCCAAGGCAGAGCTCCTCCAGCTTTTCATGGGGAGGCTTCCTCATCAATGGGGCATCTGCCATCTGGGAATCTTACTGCAAGTTAAAGGAATCCAGGTCAAGCCAGGACCTCACACCCACCCTGCTCCACACATACACACATCACCTGAGACATCACCATCTCAAATATGATTGTTCACCCTCAAAGCTGAAAAAGCACAGTCTTTAGTGCTGGCAACAGAATAGACGTCTGACCTTTTAGGACTGAATTAGCAAAGGCAGACTCTATACTTGTTAGCACAGGCTAAGGTGCAGCAACAAATGGACCCAAATGCAGTGACTAAACACCACGCAAGTTTATTTCTTGCTCGTGTAACATCTTGGGCAGTGCTCCGGTCTGTGAGCAACTCCCTCCACCCAGTCTTTCAAGGCACCAGGCTCCTTCTGTCATGAGGCTCTGCCATGCACAGAAGCTTCACTCCCTAGGGTTGGTGAAAGACAAAAAGGATATAGAAGAGTGTTGGCTTGGAAGAGGTACATGCCACCTCCACTCACATTCCCCTGGGGAAGAATTATGTCTCTGTTTAGATGTAAGAAAGGGGCTGGGCAGCTCCTTCCCAGTGGCAACTCTATATGGAAAGGAGATGGCTACCTCTTCCACATTAACTCTGAAATCATGCACTCCTATGCTCCCAGGAAAAACCTTGGTTTACACATGATGAATAAGATAGAAACTACGTTCATTTTGCTTTACTTCTACTTTCTATTTAAGGTTGGGGGCCAGGCGTGTTGGCTCACGTCTGTCATCCCAGTGCTTTGGGAGGCTGAAGCAAGCAGATCACTTGAGGTCTGAGATCAAGATCAGCCTGGCCAACATGGTGAAACCCCAGCTCTACTAAAAATACAAGACATAGCCAGGCATGGTGGCAGGTGCCTGTAATACCAGCTACTGGGGAGGCTGAAACAGGAGAATCACTTGAACCCAGGAGGCAGCAGTTGTAGTGAGCAGACATTTCACTGTTGACATTTTGAGCAGGAGAATTCTTTGTCATGGGGGTCTGTCCTGTGCACTCCAGCCTGGGAAGCAGAGAAAGACTCCATCAAAAAAAAAAAAAAAAAAAAGGTTGTGGAGACGATCAAAGAAGGGGAAGAAGGGGCCAGGTAGAAGTCACCTACCTCCCTTTTATTCAATTTTACTGGTTAGTGCATGAGTGGTGTCTCAGCAACCCACTGCACCCTACCCCAGGCTTAAATAAGTGTGAAGATCTTCATTGGTTCCAATGTCAGAAAAAGGATGAAGTCCAAATGCATCAGAGTCCTGTTCATTCTGTTCCTGGCCTGCTTTATTGGTTTCTTCTCCTGTCTCCTCTTCCTATCATCATTCAGCCTACACACCAGCCGCATCCAGCTCTCCCTACCCATGCCTGCCATGCTCTTTAATGCCTTCACACCTGTGCACACTCTTCCTTCAGCACAAAATGCCCTTTCCCCTCTGCTGTGCCTGGCAAACTTCCACGCACTGTTCAAGATGCAGCTCAAGCATACCCTTGCTCCCCGCCCTTAGTCCCATAATCCTTTGAGCATGCATCCATTAAAGCACATAGCTTACTTTGTGTCTGGTGTGTCTGTCTCCAATTAGACCAGCGGTTCTCAACCAGAGGCAATTTTACCGCATACCCCTGGGGACATTTGGCAATGTCTAGAGACATTTTTGGTTGTCACAACTGGGGGCTGGGGGTGATACTGGCGTCTAGTGGGTAGAGGCCAGGGATGCTGCTAAACATCCCATAGTGCACAGGACAGACCCCCACACCAAAGAGTTCTCCTGCCCAAAATGTCAACAGTGCAGAGGTTAAGAACCTCTGAGTTAGACGGTGAGTTTCTCAGAGCAAGGACATCCCATTTCTTCGGAATTACCCTAGCAATGTCACAGTGCTGTACAAGGTACATAGTAAGCTCTCTATGAATGTTAAATGGAAAGATGGATAGATAGATAACAGATAGATAATAGATGAGAGATAGATAGGTAATAGTTAATAGATGAGAGATAGATAACAGATAGATAACACATAGATAGATAGATAGATAGATAGATAGATAGATAGATAGATCAACATTATAGCAGGCCACATAGACTGAAGAACTGTGAAGTCAAGCTTATCTCCTGAGTTGTCTTTGGCATGAAAAGATGCAGAATCTCCAAACTTAAGCTTCCATGGCCAGAGAACAACTGGTTAAACTGCAGGAGCTGCCGAAGAGAGACGCCAGGAGCACGAGGACCCTTCTTGGGGCTTACCACTGAATTCGGCAGTTCATTAAATACATTAGACACAATTTCAATACAGAGCTGTTAGTGCTTTTTTTTTTTTTTTTTGGCAACTTGTATTCTGCTAATTGATTTGTATAATATAAATTATGTTTATCAATGTAAATAATTTTCATTCTTAACTTGTCTTATTTTATGCATCTTCACACACTTTAGTCCCTGGGAAGCTTGAGGAACAAAGTGTTACATAAACTAGTTAAAAAGTGTGTTTTCAGGAATAATGTATTTTTTAAACCAGGCTTTTTTTTTTTTTTTTTTGAGACAGAGTTTCGCTCTTGTGGCCTAGGCTTAAGTGCAATGGCACAATCTCGGCTCACTGCAACCTCTGCCTCCCCATTCAAGAGGTTCTCCTGCCTCAGCCTCCTGAGTAACGGGGATTACAGGCATGTGCTACAAGGCCTGGCATTTTAATTTTGTATTTTTAGTAGAGATGGGATTTCTCCATGTTTGTCAGGCTGGTCTCAAACTCCCAACCTCAGGTGATCCATCCGCCTTGGCCTCCCAACGTGCTGGGATTACAGGCATGAGCCACCACACACAGCAACCAGGCTTATTTAACTGAGGTTTGCTTGCTGCTACTGAGGCAAGAGATAGGTGATTATTAGGCCCAATCTGACATCACCCCCCAGGCATGCCCCATCCCAGCTCCTGCAGAACTTCCAGTTAGAAAAGCAGCAACCGCAGCACATGCTCCAGCACAGAAGTGATCCCCTCGCCTCCCCTCCTCGTCCCCATGGACTCCAGCTGTCCCTCTTCCATCACCAAACAGGCTGACAACAACCACGGCTGAACAGGATGTCAAAGGGCAGCCCTTGCCCACTGGTTACTCTGGGACTGTGGTCCAGGGCTCTAC